GGGCAGACCACATCCAGTCTACTCAGTCTGTCACAGCGCTCAAACTATTAGTTTTGTGCCAACAGTTCCCGTCAATAAAGCTTCACTTGGGATCACGTGCCCAGAAAGAAGTAGTGTCCACCCACGATCTCCTGTGAGAGTCCCCGAGCATCGGCAGTCACATTCCCTTTGGTTTAGCAGCACAAACTAATCTATGGGCATGATGTGCCAGGCAGTGCTCACTCATACAGGCCACACCGTTGCCCTCAGTTTCTCCCGGGTACACTTCACCTTTAACTCCGGTCGGGTCCCAACACCTCTCGTACAGCCCAACTACAATTATAGTTCCGGGAGGCCCAAAAGAATGCAAATTTGAGTGCCGCCTTCTCTTGTTTGAATAATGGCCACTTCACAATTCTCCCACCCACACTGGGACCCTCTCTGCTTCTGAGGCGCCCGGCCCTGGGCAGGCATCTGGGTGAGGGAGAGAACACAGGAGGGGGCTGAAAAGCACACACAACAGTAAGCTCTAACCCAAACAGAACTAATCCATTCAGAGCCAAGTGGGGCTGAGCAGATGGGAAACCAGGCATCCCCCGCCCACCAGCATCCTGGGTTCCGGGGCCTTCCCCACAGAGGTATAATTATAAGGGGTGACCCAGCCACATGCTCCCAGGGCTGCCCTGCTTCCAGACACCCATGGTATTGCCTTCACCTGGTTTAGATTTAAAATCTTGCACAGCCTCCCCCGAAAATAATATATGCAAAAGCAAGAATATAAACAAACACCTCAGCTTTGTGCCACTGCCTGGGGTGGGACACACAAAAGCTTTGTGCACTCCTCTCTGGAGTCTCTTAGGCTCTAGGGATCAGAGGTAAGGCCCATCTTTGCTGCCTGCTGCTCTCCCCAATGCATCACGTGTGTGCGTTTACCTTCTCTTCTAGCTTTGAGTATGAGAAGAGGACCAGAGGAACCTCCATTTTGCTCACTGGGGTACCTATGCTTAACATAGGTGGGGCTGTGCAAAATGTATTCAAATATCTACTGAGTAGATGTAGCTCCCGACTAAGCATAATGAGAAGGTTGTGTCTCGAATATCTATTTCCTTCTGTTAGGCACCCTGAAGGCAAAAATCCCATGTGCCTCATTCATGAGAGCTTCCCCATACTCAGCCTTAGCAGCCAGCCACTCGTGTGGAACAAAGGAGCGATGACTAGCCCCAACCAAAGGCACAGTCACTACACCAGAAAGTAGCAGGACTACAGGGGGCTCAAAGACCATGCTTGTGTGAAACAGAAGCCACAGAGCAAATCCCCCTGGCCAATACAGGACTGGGTCCTGGGCCCTGAGGCCAGGCTCTCGCCCTAGCCACTGGGTCCTGGGGCAGAGAGAGAGAGATCAGGGTCACAGAAACAGTACCTGCTTCTCAGAAGGAGCAGCAGGACAAGATAAACTCGAAACAATTAGTGAACAAGGTAACTGCCAGGCTAACCATATTATATCCTGATATAAGGTACACACTGTACCACACAATTAGAGACAAGAGTGAGGGACACCACGCTAATCACACAGGACAAAGAGCAAGCGAACGAACACGAGCCACGGGGTGCTGGTGCTGTCCCAGAGGGCTTTGGGAGCCGTGAGACCAAAGAAGAGCTGAGGTGGGGATTCCTTCACTAGGAAGCTCTCTCCTGGCCGCGGCTCTCTCTTCCACGGTCCTGCTGTAGGCTGTGCCCAGACAACCCCTTATGCCACTCGAGTGTCATCGCTCAGGAAGCCTGACGGCACCCACCTGGGCACCCAGTTCCAGGAGCAGGGAGCAGCTCCCAGCACCACGGCAGGCCTTGGCTCAGTGTTTTCACATACAAAGCTGCCAGGACCTCTCAGCACCAAGGGCTCCGATATGCAGAGCCCCTGCGCATACCTCTCCATTCAGCTCTCTGATCACTGTGAAGTACAGACAGGAAAATCATCCACCCAGGGTGCGGGGCCGAACAACCCCCTACAGGTCTGCCACTTATTTGGCAAATCCCGCTCCTTTATTCGCTTTATTGATTCATTACTGTTACTTCTTGCCACAAGAACTTGAAACATGGGCTACTCGTTAAGTGCAACTATATCCAGCAGAGGGAAAGACACTGGCCAGGTAGGGCAGAGGGACTGGGGTGTGTGGAGGAGGGAAGAATAGGCGGGGCTCCAGAGGGACAGGTCATTCTAGGAGCAAGCAGTGAGAGAGCAGGGGACACAACAGTGCCGCCATCACTGTGACGGTGTCAACTCATGGGATGCTAGGCTATTTCGCCCATTTGTTGTTGTTAAGACAGTCTCACTATGTAGCCCAGGCTGGCCTCAAATCTGAGATTCCCTTAGCTCAGTCTCCTGAATGCCGGACCGTGTACCACCACGCCTGGTTTAAACTATTTCTCAACTGAGAAGAAAAGACCCCCCCCTCCCTCCTTCCCTCCCCAGGGCTACAGGAGGAGAGGTTAAACAGCCAGCCCTGAGTTCCTGTGTGTCAGTGTGACGGGTCCCTCTTTACATTTTTCAGGGGGTACAGTCCCTGCCTAAAACACACCCCAGGGTTCAGGTTTCCTGTTTCCAGAGGTCAGGGCAGAGAAAACAACAGCTTAGATCCATCTCTGGATGGAGACAAATCAGGAGAGCAGAAAGTTCCCCTCCTGGGCAGTCACAGGGCCACACATGCTCTTAGAACAGAAGCAAGTGAACGCAAATCTATAGAGTCTTGGGGAAAAATGCACCACAGTGGAAGAGAAACCCTCACTTGAGACCCTCACTGAGAAGAGCGTTATATAATTTATAGTAGCGGCTGAATCCAGCATTTCATCTCTGTCTCTAATTATTCCAAGCCAGTGAGATTTGTTTTGCATATGTTTTGCTTCTCTATCTTGCGGGTCTCTCTCTTCTGTGGCCACATTCCTCCTAAGCCCAGCTGCTCTTACCTGCAACCTGTTTCCTTCAAGTGTCGTCTCCCACCATCCTTCCTATGTGCAAACACTCCGCTACATGCATTCCTCAGTAACCCTTCCCAAACTCAGCCTTACAGATGGGGTTCCCCTTCTACCTCTCACTCCCTGCTGGCATCCTTCTGGCCAGACTGGCATCAGCCTGGTTCATTTCCTGTCTCCCTCTTGAGCCATCCCCCCTCTCCCTGTTCCCACAGAACCAAGCTGAACTTGCACAGAGCCCGCAGACAGCAGACAGGACACACTGGCTAAGGAAGAGCGGGAGGAATATGATCACACACACTTCGGTTCCGATAAGTCCCGGCGGTGTGAAACAGCACATCCACCTCTGCACCCGGAAGGCTGCAAGTCCAAACAAGCAGCGAGCTTTTGGCCCGGCAAGGCTGGTAATTGGCAAGTGCTGAATTATGTGAAACCAGCCTGACAAATAGAGGCTTAAAAACGACGACAACAACAACCAGGGCCACAGCACAGCCTCACCGGAGGCCGACTTCACTCTTTTTTTTATAAAAAAAAAAAAAAATTTATTTATTTTTATTTTATTTGTTTTGCCTGCATGTATGTCTGTGTGAGGGTGTCAGATCTTGGAGTCACAGACAGTTGTTAGCTGCCATGTGGGGTGCTGGGAATTGAACCCGGGTCCTGCGGAAAAGCAGTCAGTGCTCTTAACCACTGAGCCATCTCTCCAGCCCCGCCATCTTCACTCTTACCTAGGTCATCCCCAAGATGGACAGGGTATCTACGGTGGGAGGCAGGGCCAAGACCCTGACACTTCACAAGGACTGCCACTGGTATTCTGTGACAGTCAGTCACTAGATGCTTATGTGTTAAGCACTGCTGTATGCTTGGCTCCCTTTACCAACCCAAACCAAGACTGCTTTACAAGAACCATCTCACAGAGCAGGGAACACAGAGCCACACAGAGGAAGCTGGTACCGCCTCCTCAGCCTTCTGTGTTTTCTGCCGGGACCACCAACCACTCCTGACCTTACCTTCAACCTTGGGGTTCTAGAGGACAAAGACCAGACAGCATGCTAGCTGCTCCCCAGCCGAAGTCCGGGCCTACTGCTATCATCAGATCACACTGTGTACACGCTCACACATGGGCACTGGGTGTGTCTCTCTCTGATTTGTAGGATACGTTAGATGGCATTTTCAAGATCATCTCCATCCAAAAAGAGCCCAAAGTCTCATCAGAGATGTTCATAATTAAAGGAAAAAGAAGAATAGAGAAGTTCTGACTTCTAGGAAGTCAGGGACTCATTCAAGGACAGTTCTGAAAACTAAGACATAGTGTGTTTTGGTTTTTAGTTTGTTGAGACAGGTTTCTCTGTGTAGTCCTGGATGTCCCGGAACTGGTGATCTGTAGACCAGGCTGGCCTGGAACTCACAAAGATCCGCCCAGTCTAAAACACAATTCTGTTTTGTTTTGTTTTTGGAGACAGGGCATTACTACGTAGCCCTGGATGGCCTCAAACCAGGAGATACTCACTTAAGGCTACTCTTTAAACCTGTAAGAAAAGAGGATTTCTGTTGGGGGTTTATGCAAAACAAATCTCACTGGCTTGGAATAATTAGAGACAGAGATGAAATGCTGGATTCAGCCGCTACTATAAATTATATAACACTCTTCTGACAAGCCCTCAGGGGCACACACAGAACACAGCTCTGACTCAACGGAGGACAGCTGTCAGAGGTGCCGGCACAGGTAAGCAATCAGAACCCTCTGATCGGAGCATTTAAGATGATCGAGCTGATTCTGTAATCTTATTAACGCCACTCCTCTACTGAGCTGACCCGAGTCTTAGCCTGGAAGAGTCAGGCCCGAGCCCTGCTCGGAGGAAAACAACAAATTTCTGTCAGACTCCATCCAACTCCCCCCACCCCCACCACAGCACTTTTCTAAGCGTCCTAATGAGAGCGCCCGCACTGAACAGCGCCAGGTCCAGACAACCTTGGCCAGCACAGACCTATTTGGTGGTGGAGGAGGAGGTTAACATGGTAACTGGGCAATACCAGTTCTTCCCTTGCGCAGCTCGAGGGCAGAGTGTTAAGCTGCAAACAGTCAGTCTTGCCTTCTGGGGACTTTTGGGCAAATGTCCCTATTTGGACCCGAGGCCATGAGAAATTCGTTGTCTTTCACGCACACGTACAATGGACTGAGAAATCTCCAGGCGGTCAGAAAGTTGGCTTCTTTGCCGCCACCCTCGGCTGCTGACACCACTCAGTAACTCAAAGGCACTGGAGTGGTCTCGAATCCCCAACTCCCCAATTGTCCTGCACTCAGAAATAACCAAAAGCTTTGGCGGCTGCCAAAAAAAGGAGAGAGAAAGAAAAACCCCAGGAACACACCAAATCCATGTCCAACTCCTTTGCCCCTTAGAACAAAACCCATTGCAGACACACACAAAGAAGGGAGGCAAGACAAAGGAAAGGCCAGGTCACACTTGACAAGGGGCTTTCTTGTCGTTTCCAAAACAGAACTGTCCTCCATTAGAATGCTCTTGTTGCTCGGATGTTGGTGCGGGAAAGGAGGGGCTCACAACTCTCAAAACAAAAGCAAGACTTGGCGGGTGGGAGGCCCTGGGGAGGCGCCTTCTCCCTGCACACTTCTGCGCCTTTGAATGCCCGCAGATCGGGGTCCAGCGCAGGCAGCTGTTATTATCTCAGCAACTCCGAGGGCCCCGGCGCCAGGGAGTGTGTCCCGAGCAGGTGAGCACCATCTGCCCGACTCGGATGAGATGCCCCTCTCCCTGCCTGCTGCCGCCAGCAGGCTCTCAGGCCCTGGGGAACCACAGCCAGCTTGCATACCCTCCCTGGATTTGGTACGTCAACTCTCAGGCAGGCTGCCCCTCCTCAGTCGCTACCTGGCGGTTAAGAACACTGGTCAACCCTGAAAGAGATTTCTTAAGGCTTTCTGCTAGGGAGGACGTGCAGAGTCAGGGACATAAGAAAACAGAGTCCACTGACACACCCTCCCAGGGGCTAATTTTAAGAAGGGTTTTTAATTGATCTATAAAGAAAAAAAAATTCTACCTGCCTTTTAAAAAGCACTCCCTGCATTAGCTGAAACATTCCCAACACACCCTAGCCCATTTCCTCCCTCCCTGGCCCTCCCAGGTTTAATGGGGGGTAAGTGACTCCCTGATGCAATCTACAAGGCGGGGTGGGTCCAGACCACAGGGAGGGAGGAAGCTGGGTGGGAAGCAGGTCTGCCGGGCAGGGCTCAGAAGGGTGGACTCTGAAGGCCTGCAGTTCTGGCTCTGCCTTTCCCTCCCCTCCCCCACTATTTTACAGACTCCGGTGTTTTTGCTGCTGGGAGACTAAACAACTGAGACATCTACACCACGTGACAAGCAGATGACCCACCCTGCTCTAAAAGGAAGAGCGATGGTTCTCACCAAGAACACAGGTTCGGGTGGATAGGCCTGCCTGTCCTTGGGTCTGGATTTGGGGGTGGCACCTACAAGAAGCACGTGTCTTCACTCTTGGAAGGAATATGGAGATGAGGAAGGGATATGTCCCCACGGCCATTTCTCTGGGACTCTCAAGCACTAAGGATTCTGCAGCAAGGCACACCACTAACGTAGACTTCTTCTTGGAGTGACTATCAGGCAAGGGCCGTCCATGAGCAGAGAACTGGTCATCCCAGAAGGGGGCAGCAGAGCGAAGGTCTGATAGTGGGCAGCCTCGAGGCTCAAAAACTGAGAGCTAGGACCAGGCCTTCACATGGTAACCCAAAGTGTCCATGGGAAGAGCTCTCTTCTGAACAAAAGCCAGAGAGGATGATCCCACAATGCCAGAGACAGCATCTGAAGGACCCTGGACCCTGGAGTGCTCTCTGGACTCCCTAACTTGCAGGACCTGTTGTGGGGCTCATAAAGACAGCGGGGCTTGTAAAGGGCTTGGAAAACAATGAAAGGAAGGAGCCAGCCGCATAGGTCCCTAATCAGAAGTGAGTCAGCAGCCACCCCTCGAGGCTGAGCCATCCCTGGCTTCAACCTTCCTATCACCATCCTCACTTGGGGAGAGGCACAAAGAGCACAGGCCACTACACTGAACGAGCGGCCCTTCTGTGCCCCCACCCCACCCCACCCCACCCCACCCCACCCCACCGCACCCCACCCCACCGCACCGCACCCGTGTGCCCTGTTCAGGTTCTACCGTCTTCAAGTGGAGGATACGCTAAATTACTGTCAGTATGAAACCCATAAAAGTGAGGCTAGACCGGCGGCTTGGTGGGTAAGAGCACTTGCTGCACGAGTGTGAAGGCACACACAACAGCTGGGCAATGGCTACCTGGGCCTCTTCCTCCAGCAAGTGGATCCTGAGAGCTCTGTGCCTAACCAGCCAAATAAATAAGTAAGTAATAAAGGCAGCATGTTTCTGGGTAGTTAGAGACCCCATCTTAAGGTAACACGGCAGGAAGGATAGAGGCCTCCATACGCATGCCTCCACGTGCACCTGTACACTAGCATCTCCCCCTCCCTCCCAGTAGGGAAGAACAAAGTGCATACAGAAAGAGCCCCTGTAACTAACTCTCTAAGCTCTGTGTGCACCCCCAGGTCCGTGGCTCTAGAGACTCACTGACACCTACAGCTGCCCGCCCCAACTGCATAGTACGCCATGGCTGACCACAGCACCCATACAAATTCATCTGCATCTGACCATCTCTGTTTCTGTCTAGCGTCCATGGAAAGCAACAGCCTATTGGGGAAAAGTCTCCAGCACAGGTATCAGCTTTGAGCAGTACAGCATGTCAAAGAACAGGGGACTGTTCAGCTCAGTGGTCGGTGAGGGCTTCCTTCCACAAGGAGGGAATCATGGAAACGAGTCACTATGCAGGGGGGACTGGACACCTGGTTACACCTTCACAGCCCCTTCTTCGGGATGGGGGAGGTAGCACTTTCAGTGACTTTATACTTGTTCCTTCTTGTCACAGTTCCTACCTGAGCCCAACATTTTAGATCAAACCTCCTTGACCATGCCAGGGGCTGCCAGGCCTCAAGGCCTGTAGCTCCCACCTGGGTGGTGGTGGTGAGTGCAGAGCCTTATAACATATAGCACCTTATGGGAATCGCTAGGCTACCTCTCCCCTCTGAGTCCCCCACTCTGGTACCAAGTGATGAGTCCAACTTCCTGGAAATATGGTCTCCACTTTGAATCCACTTCAGAAAGACAGGCCTAGGTGGGAGGCCAGGGAGGGGCTGGAATGGGAAGGAACATCCGTCTGCATCAGAGCAGGGGAGGTAGCTCTTGAGCTACTCACGTGCGCTTCAGCCTCTCTCCCCTCCTCAAGCAGGAAGTGTTCACTGGACCGACAAACATGCCTGGGGTCGTACTAGGGTTACGGCCGTGGAGCCGACTCGGATTTGTGGAAATGAGCCATCCAAGACAATGGGTGTGCAAGGCACAGAAATCAGCTCCAGATGCAGGCCAGAGCCAGCTGCCCAGGGACCAGCAAGGGTAATCAATCCTGTTGATATGTTTATTCTCCAGAGGAGGATCTGGGGGAGGGGGCTGTAGCCTGTGGCTCCGGGACAATGGGAGGCAGCTGAAAGCACGGGCCTAGGATCCTCAAGAGTCTGAGGGTCCTGCCTTGGGGCTTCCTGTTCCTCAGCTAGGAACTGGGGGCAAGGGACACACCCCAAAGCCAACTGTATGACTGTGCCTTGTGACACCAACAGTCCCCAGAGTCAATGACTAAGGTCTTGCATGAAAAATGTGAAGTGTGAGGTCCCATCTGCAAGCATCTCTGCCCAGTGGTCTGGAGTGAATGCTACTTAGGATCAGAACTAAGCGTTCCCAAACTTCAGGGCAAGGAGTGGCAGGACCTTTACTTTTAGACCTGGGAGACACCCAAGTGGCTGAGATGGCAAACAGGAGATAGAGGGAGCCCAGTAAGGCAACAAGGAACAGAGCCAGTGCCCAGGTCTCTCTTATGATCCTGAGGCTCCTCCTATCCAGCTCCCAACCTCGACTTAGTCCCCAGGCAGAAAGAATTGCTTGGTTGTCTGGCAGGGGGAGGGGATGGGTAAACTGAGGTTCTGAGGACCTACTCTGCAGCACAGGCATCAAGGAGAGTCAGAACAAAGGTCTCCCCTCTTCGCTGGGCTATCAGGCCCACGAGGAGAAGGCCCCTCTAGATCACACATTAACTATCACACGAAGAACCACGGCCATGAAGCTGGTCGCTCACCTGACACACTCGAGTGTGCTCACAGCGCTGAAAGTGTGTAAACAGACGGTAATAAGATGAGAAGTTACAACTGTCAAGACAAGAACTCGAACTTAAATTCCTTGCGGTTCTGCTTTGAAAGGACTTTGCCAAAGGGTATTTCAGAAGACTGTGGTCTCCCACCAGGATGAGAGAAGAAGGTGCCCTGTCTGGTGCGTGAAGCCCATGCAGTCAAAAGCTACCTATGTACAAGCATTGCCCACGAAGGGAATACTAGCCTACCTCCCTTAATAAGCAGGAAAGGGGGGGAGGGAGTCTAAAGTCTCAAGAACAAAAGGAAGGCAGAGCTTGTCACTCTGGCCCTGATCATCCATGGCACCCTATCCAGCCATCTGTCACTTCATATAGAAATTCCCTGTGTGTGACGCTGTCTGCCTGGAGAGATGGCTGGCTGTTATCCATCTCCCGGTCCCCACTGAGCCTGGTGCCCAGGAGGCCCCGTAAATACTGCTGAACAAAATGATAGGGTTTCTGCTAGAGCCTTGGTGTACAAAGCCAGCCCTGGGGACTCATTCCTGGATGCTCAGGCTCTCTGGGCCACAACTTCCTTTTCTCACCTTGGCGAGCAGAGGCAGCCATCTTGATCCTGCACAATGGGTCAAGGTCATATATGGTCTACCTGTGACCCCTTCTTACTCAAGCAGCTTAGAGCCCTAGGAAGTTGGGGGACAGAAAAAGCTCATCGCACACCACTCGGCATCAAGTGGAGTGTGAGCAGGCAATACCGTGCTGGGGTGTTAGTGCAAAAAGTAGGGAAGCTAGAGCTGTAACACTATGAACAGCTATAATTTGTTCATCTAGAGCAAAACCTTTTAAAAATGAAAAAATACAATCCCCAGTGTGGGTAAAGGTATAGTTAGGATAAGTCATTTATGTACTGCTCGAGTCAGTACGAGTCAAGATAACCTTTCGAAAAAGTAACTTGGCGAAATAAGTCAAGGGTCTCAAAATGAGCCTATCCTTCCTTTCCAGCCATCTCATTTCTGGAAAGGAAATGCAAAGATGTTCACTGTGGTGTTGTGTATAGTTAGCAGGATGGTAGGGAAGGGCAGGAAGGACTAGCCAATAAGGAAATGGCTCAATAAAACCTTATGCAGCCATTAAGACAGAATTATGAATAGCTGGAAGCATATTCATCCAAAGAAAAGGCACCAGACCACGGTACAAGTGTAGACCTGGACAGCATTTGTCGAGGCTGGTGGCTGTGACGGAGAAAGTTGCCTTCCACTTCCTGAGCTTCCTCTAACCTTGTCTGTAAGGTGACAGCTAGCCCTGTGTTTCTATCTTCTGCACCGCCCACCTAACTCAGACCCCGGGGCTCCAAGAGGTGGAAAAGGGAGGCGCGAGGCTCAAACCAAAGCAAATGAACATGATTTCAAGGAGGGTTCCATGGCACCTTCTCCAAGAGTGACATTTACCCATGGAAACCTGCTGGGATTACACACACACACACACACACACACACACACACACCACAACCGAAAGCCACGATTTCCAATGTACAGAGATAGATACACCCATTCAGTTCCCTAACAACAGCCGTGGCCAACTTTCTACCCCAACCAGCCATCTGGGGCTCAAAGGGAAGGTGTCAGATTGATCACCAGGATAGGATTAATTTCTTTCTCCTTCTTCTTAAATCCCCTTAACTGAGAAAGCAGCTTGAGCCAATTCTGCTTTTCTCACAGACACCAAAACACCAAGCTATCGTCATACCAGTTCATCTTCACACCCCCAGAGTCGGGGGGGGGGGGGGGAGCTTTCCAAGCAGCTCTGCGGAGTCTGCCATCCAGCGAAGGAACAAGAAGCACAGGCTTGCAGACAGAGCAGGACTGCCAGAAGAGGGGCCACCCCAGCCTTCTCTGCCAGGCTGGAGGTGGCGACATCTCTCAGGACCTCCACATGCTGCCTGCTAGACCGCTGCTATACAGCACACAGAATGCCCTTCAACTGTACTGACAGGGAGATGGGTGGGCAGCGTACCAGGCACCACGACCCCAACGATTCATTCTAGCCCTCCACCACACAGGGAGTTGGTGTTCTTATTCTGTGTGTGAGCAAGCTGAAGTCTGGAGCACCACCTCAGCTGTGCCAGAGCACACCCAGCAGGGGAAGGACCAGGAAGCAACCAAACAGGCAGCAAGATGGTACCGTTTTTACATTCTCTGCGACAACCCACAAAAGTAAAGGCTGCTTCCCCACCCCAAACTGGCACGTAAGAGAAGCAGGGCTCCAAGGAGCTGGCCCCCTTCTCACCTCTAAGATCTAGGGGTCTCCCCTCCCCCAACACATGGGTTCCCACTCCATCCCACCGCAGGAGCAGGACTACAAACAGCACCTGCTGTTCGCCCAGGTCTCCTCTCACTGACACTGCACAGGTACTAAGAACATTTGCTTTGGATGGGTGGAGGGGAAGGAGAGCCAGGACCAGGGTGAACGCCTCTCAGAGATAAAGCTTGCAAACTTACTAAGATGGAATGAATAACCACAGGAAAGAGGCTCTCCTGGGGCAAGAGAAAGCTCCCAACACAGCCCACTTGGGGTGCAACCTCAGCCCCAATGCAAGCCCACTACCTGTGCTACAATGTTCCCCCACCCCCCACCATCTGTTAATAATCAACCCAACCCTCCAGGCCGGCGCCAGCTTCCAAGAAGACAATGACTACCTCCAGGAAAATGGCCAGAAGCAGGTTTGGCGCCTGATTTATTAGGTTGTAAAAAAAAGGAGGAAAAAAAAAAAAGAAAGAAAAAAAAAAAGGGTCCTGAAGGAAGAAAGAGGAACACGCAGCAAAGCTAAAAGCTAAGACATGGTGTTTCCGATACATTTATTGTTCTTTTGTTGGCCTCTCCTCTTTGAAGGAGGCAGGTGGCCTGGGTGGAATTCTAGGGACTACTGTCGGAGACACTGGTGTCAGACTCTTATCTGGACAGGAGAAGGGCCGTGGAGTCCCTTCTACAATGCAGCAACAGGACTCCACATACCGCTTTCATGCTTCAGACCTGGGGAGGGGACACCCCGAGAGGTGAGCTGGGTTGTCCCGGCCCTTAGGGGGGCTTCCAGTCTGGTAGGGGAAGTCTTGACACAAATGCTAGTGTTTTCAAATGGAGGGGACGACGTAGCGTGAAAGAAAAGTCAGTTTCTGAGATGAGAGATATTGGCACTTCCAGGGGAAAAAAAAGACCGGGGGCAGGAGAACCAGCTTCAAAGAAGCCAAAGAGACAGGTGAGTGCAAACAGGCTGTACGCTAACACTAGGGACCTGACAAGTGGCAGTCACTTAGGAAGCTGCGGTAGACAGAGAGAGACAGGCCCTGACTTCAAGGAAACAGGGGAGGTTAAGGAGAGAGCAGGATGATGGATCAAGAGTCCACAGAAGCGAGCTCAGGAGGCTGTCTGGGAACCCCTGTGGCCAGCATGGTGCCTGGCAGACAGTAAGCATTCAACCAATGACTCTGAAAAGGATGAACAGGAATCCAAGAGTGTGAACAGTTCCTTCTGCCTGAGGAGGCCGGAGTATCTGCCAGGGAAATGCCCTAGCAGCCGGCTACAGAGAGAAGGCTGTCCTTTCGGCAGGGGCTAGGGTTACACCAGGCAGGAGGAACTTCCCGTGCAAAGGCACAGTAACACACTGAGTGCACTCCCTGGAGACCTGATCGTGCTGGAGAGACAGGGGTGCTCTGAGAAAAGATGCTGACCACAGAACCCTGGAGGCTCCTCCAAAGAACATGGAGGGCTTCCCCCTAAAGAACAGGGCACTTCTCAAGACGGCAGATGTGGTGCAGCGGGGTCAGGTCTCTTTTAGAGGGGACCTCTGGCAGCAGTGATTCCAGCTTCTAAGAAGGAAACCAGGAAGAGAAGTAGGGCCATCCAAGAGGTTCCATGTGCTCGCTGTGGCCTGCCCTAGGCTCCTTGCTCCACACCCATGGTAGCCCTGAAATCGCTCTGCATTGCAGAGTAGCCCACAGAGCCTACGAAGTCTCTCCCAGATGAACCTGCACAAACAGCAGTGTGGCTCTCAAGTCAGAATTGGGGGGGGGGGGGGGTGTTTCTTCAGCTGTGTGGAGAGCAGAAGAATTCAGCCTGGAGCCACTGAAAGCAAGCTAAGGTGTGTGTGTGTGTGTGTGTGTGTGTGTGTGTGTGTGTGTGTGTGTGTGTGTGTGTGTGTGTGTGTGTGTGTGTGTGTAGAAACAAAGCCCTTTGAGCCCAGCAGTGTTCCCTCAGACCTGAGTGTCTTTAGGTGCTGTTCTGAGGATTTAGGGCAGGATGAGGAACCAGAGCTGAGGTTCATCGGGTCAAAACGGATAATAGGTCCTCTGCAATGGAGGATGGCAGAGAGGCCTGAGTCAATCAGGGAAGGTGACTGGGGAAGGAAGGCCATGTTTCATGCACTGCTGCCTTGCAGAAGGAAAGCCGGAAGTGGGCTGAGAAGGGGTTAGAAAAACAGAAGACAAACCACTCTACCCTGTCCTTTCCAAACTCAAGACTGGAAAGCAAGCAAAGCAGGCCTGGACAGGCAGTGAACAGAGGGACAGGACCCTAGGGCTCTGACCTCGACCTTTCTGGGTCCAGTTTCTGCGAGCACTGAACGAGGCGATCCTGGTTTGTTTCCAGGCTCTGCTATGATTCCTCGTGTCCCTGTCTGTGGCTGGGAAAGAGCAGCAGTTTGTAATGGTAAACAGAATTGATAAGGACTAGAGAATCTCACTGAGCTGGAGTAACCAAAGCCCACCACAGCCCTGCCTGTCAAGTTTTATGGCATGGGAAAGCTAGGAGGCGAAGCCACGGCCGGTAGATACTTTCAGGACAAAAGGCTGAGGGACAGCCAGCCATCCCTCTTCTGTGCACACCACTCAACTGTTCCTGAGGTAACAGAAAGCCCCTGCGGGGCCCTAAGACAGCTTATTCCTTCTATTACTACCATCTAACATTATAACACACTCACGTGGCAAAACCACGGAAGAAGACACTAAACTCCACAAGGCCATCGCCTGGCCAGGTCCCATGGAAACACAGGGTATACACTACAGGAGTGCGGAAGGCAAGCTCTCTCCACCCACCAAGAGTGGAGGGAACAGAAGGACCTGGTCTCCAGGGGTCTACAACAACTGTCCCTGACCCCAAGCCAACCAAGGCTCAGGAAAAACCAACAACCCACTTCTGCCCCAAGGGTTAAGGCAGCTGGTAGGATGGGTAGCCTCTGCAAACTAACAGAGCCCCTGACACAAAGCAGACCCCATGAGATCACTGTCCCCAAAACTGTGCTTCGGTAAGTGGCATTCAGCAAGTCTTACTTAAGGGGACATACGGGCTCTCTGATGCACCCCACTTGACACTAACCTGAATGTGAAGACCCACTATTCTGCCAGTCCTCTGCCTAAGAGAAAGGGGTAAAATAAACAGCCAGAATCCTGGCCTTCTGGAGCAATACTGGTAAATAATTATACTATTGTCACTGACCTATGATTTTCAAGGGACTCAAGAGATACTTCCAGGGGGGTAGGGCGGGGCGGGGGGAGAGAAAAAGAGCAGGCATATTAGGACCATCCTAGGTAGACAGAGGAGGAAGAAGTATGGGGTCCTCCATTCTCCTCCCCAGCTCAAAGATCAGTCCTAAGCAAGACAATGAAACTCCCAGCACACCAAAAAGTCCAATGGTTGGGAAAGTAAAGAATCCTAGGCCCTAAAACTCTGCCTGTAGGGTTTAATTAGCTTTGTAAAAGACCAAGAGATACATAGATAATAGGTGCCTACCTTTACTGAAAGGGGGGAAGTAAACAGCTCAGAAAACAGCCATATCCAAGCCTCAGCCCCCTGGCCCCTCCATCCCAGGACCCCTCCAGCAGGTTGGTCTAGGAGCCAAGTCCTAGAAACCAGTTCCTCCAGCTAGACAGGATGCCAGAGTCCTGCTTCTGGAAAGAGGCTCCCTATCTTCCCTAGAAGGTGCTGTTCCCGCTTCTGCCCTGGCCTGCTACCTAGAGCCTCTGCCCTGGCCTGCTAGCTAGACCCTGTCCCAACAGGCCGACAGTGCTGTTCCTGTCTCAGCCCCCATGCAGGGAGGGAGGTGCTTGGCTAGAAAGCTGGTCTGGATTCTCACAACAGCTATATTTCCTTGTCCAGAGGGAGAAACGAGAGACGCTGGAGAGAGGGGCAGGTTTCCGATCGACAGTCTTGGCTGTCAAGACTCGTCCGCAGGGTCACTCCATGTAGCCCTGGCTGTCCTGCAACTCACTGTGTAGACCAGACTGGACTGGACCTCAGATGTCCACCTGCTCCGCCTCGAGAATGCTGGGATTAAAGGGGTGCACTGCTATCAGACTCTTAACAGGTGGCTCTCTTCTACTCCCTTAAAGCAAGGCTGAAAAGCCTGTCAGGGGTTGGGAAAGAAAATGGGCAGAGAACCAGCAATCTGGGATCTCCCCGATACGGTTTAGTGTGGGTCTATCTTAGCTCAGTGTCAGGTGTAATACAACACTTACTTAGATCTATGTGTCCTCTTCAAGTACGACTGAAGAAAGGCCGTCTGTAGACAGCCCGCATGCACCAGGTTAGCCTAAGCATTTTACAAAAACAAACAAACAAACAAACAAACTCATGTATTCCTCAAGCATTTGTAGAGAATGTATTTTAATAAACCCCATTGTACAGATGCAGGAGGCAAGAACCAGGGGTGAAATTTGCTGTCTAGAGTTAGTGACCAAGAGTGCTGGCCTCTAAGACCCGGTCTGTTAGCTTTGAACATCCTAGCAATGGATGATGTCTTCTTTCAAATTCAGAAAGCCTTCCAGGCAAGGAACCCTGGATGGAGATGAACTCTTTCAAGAGTCTTTGAAGCTGTGGACAAACGCCCTTTAGAACAAAATCATTTAGTAGGCTGGGCATAGTGGTGCATGCCTTTAATCCCAGCACTAAGGAGGCAGAAGCAGGTGGACCTCTGTTGAGTTCAAGACTAGCCTGGTCTACATAGCAAATTCTAGGACAAGTTCCAGGGCTACCGAGTGAGACCTTGTCTTAAAAAAACAAACAAGCAAACCAAAAAAACCACCAATCAGAAAGGTAAAGGAGGGGGTAGTCCCTCCTGGACAGTCCCTGGCATAGCCTAATGCCCAACTCAACCTCTGTAACACTAATGTGCTTAGGGTAGTGTCGACCAGATCCTCACTCCCTGAAATGCTGTTTATTTAGGGATCCCACAGCTTAAAACCTGCTGAAGCACAGCCCCTCAAGACTGAGTCCATCCCTGGGCACACATACCCTGGCAAGCCCACAAGACTCCACTTTTCCTATCCATGTGGTACTCCAACACCAAGGACCTAGCTCAGTTCAACTTGGGGTGAGCAGAGAGGCTCATATACAGAATTTACCAAATGGTTCCATTTTTCACTATGCCCCAACCCTTTCGGGAAAGCTCCAGGTCTTCGGAGTAGAAGGCTAGTAGTAGGTACTAATGGGGCAGTGATGTGTCCTGCTGCAGTGTTGAAAAGTTCTGTGTGCAAGTCCAGTGGTCCTGCCATGATTTAGTAAGCTGGCTCCTGAGAAACAGCAGGTCCAAGACTTCAGTAAATCTGCTAAATGAGGCCGTTTCTGGAGGGTGGTTTTCTAGATATACGGCCTGATGGGTTGCCAAACTTGCCCAGCTAACTAAGCCTCAAAGGTGAAGACAGCTGGGCTCAGCTCCTGGGGGAGGGGCCTGG